CTGCCACCCAGCCTCCATTATTTCACTTACTGTCTGTCTCTCAAAAGAGTCCAGCGTCACCTGCCTGTCAGTCTTGGGCTCTTTCTTCTGATCTGTAACAGGGCAGTGTCAAGCTGCTGGATGATCCTTTCTGCTTACCTCCAACAGCCTTTGCAGATATATCTGCCTCTTGATGCTGCTGGGAACTCTGATCGTGGGTAGTGTTTGGGTCTCTGCACTGTAAGATGAAGGGAGGGGACGGTTCCTGCCTCTCTCCACAATTAATTCACCAGTTCAGCTGATCCATCTGTCCAGCTGACATCTCTGTGAGCAGCAGCTTCTTGAAAACATTGTGTGGGGCAGTTCCTGTACTCCCATATGGCTGTTACCATGTGGCTTTAGTTAACTGACTGGTATTCTCTAACTTGGCTTCCTCTCTCTAAAGTAGGAATGATGGTGCCTATTTACCTTGTTACATAAGGGTGACATGAAGCTGTGGTTAATATTCACCTCATGCCCTGTGAAGGCTAGGATCTAATCTGCCAGAGCTGTCATCTGCAGCCCTGAGTGATGTTTTCAAGGAGAAAAAAAAAAAAAAGATCCAAAGCCCTTTAGAGCTATTTCCTTGCCGTCTTCTAGACACAAGTGATTTCCTTGCACTTTAAAAGCGCATCTAATGCGGCAATGTCTGAGCAACGCACATCAGTAACTGAGAAACAGAGCAATGAGCCCAGAAGGGATACTCTGTTCTCCACCCAGCTTTGGGTTAGCCAAGATGTTTCAAAATAAAATTCACTCAGATGAGCCAAGTAAAACCATGGTGAGACTTGTGAAAAGGAAAACCTAGATGCCTGCAGTTTGGGAGTTATTAACTCTATGTACTCAACTGCCTTTCCTCTTCCAGAACCCGTCAGGGTGTGAAAAAAATATATTTATTTTTTCTGTGCCAGGAACACCATGCTCATAAAGATCATTCTGTGTTTACTGCCTGCAGGTTTTGTGGATTCAGGTTTGATATTTTGCACTCAAGAAAGGAAGGAGTTACACTGAAGTAACCATCTCTGGGTAGAACACAAGTGGAAAATACATAAGGTTCCCTGATGTGGCTTTGCCAGGACAGCTCAGTTGTAATCCACTGCTGCTTCATTGCAGTACTAGGCTGCGATACAGCTCTCCAGACAAGGGCTGACTTCACCTGGCACACTTCTTCCTCTCCACTCTGAACTGCAGTCCAATGTGGCTTTTCCCTCAAAAAGCAATACCCCCCTGGATTCAGGGATGCAGATGCACTAGCATATATAGTTCTCCTGCAATGCTGAATTAAGGGAGCCTCAAGACTTCTGAAAACAAGAATTAATAACATCAAAAAATTCTGCGTCTGTCAAAATACCACAGAAGTGGTGTTGACAGCCTAAAAAGCCTATGTCTGCAGAGAGAAGCATTTCTTAATCCATTCCTATTTCCACTATAAACGTCAATTTAATGAGATAGTGAAGCTGGAGTTATGCAACACTCAAATGTATTCTGCTCATTAAGTGTGAGGGACCTATACAACTGTAAAATGGTGCTAAAACTGAATTCCTGTTAATATATAAGGGACTGACAGTTGTGCAGTAAAGGTCTGCTGCAGAAATCTTATCCTCTGGCTTTTAACTTTAACACCCCCAGTAAATCCTCGAAGAGCTCGACTTCTCTGGTAGGCAGCCAACCCTTGCAAGCGGGATCAGCTGCAAGGTGGGGTGCAGGCTGTTGGCTGGAAGCTTCAGACCTGAGACAGGATTTTACAGGAAAGGATAATTGAGCTCCTTGCTTTCAGTGCAGCAAACCTGTCTGAGTGTCACCAGGGCAGCTGAAATAGTCTCTCCGGGTGACTGCACAGCTAGGACACTGCTAACCCTTCATTGCACAAGGCAGACAGCCCTTGTCAAGAACCCACGGGCACAGATGCAGAGGGCAAACTGCCTCACAGCGTCAACTCTGACAGTTTAATCAAGCAGAGAAACCAGACACAGCCTGGGCTGGATCTCTCCTGCTTGCTTCAGCACTGTGTCTGCTGTGCTGCAATGAGCCTTCTCCTTCCATGTTTCTGTATGGACTCTGCTTCTGGCCTGGGGCATTCGGCTGATAATGGCATGTGGCCCGACTTCTCTCCCAGACTCAGGGCCAGATGCCATGTTACAGTCACTTCTGTCAGTAGCTCTTCAGAGGAATGGCTAAAGAGGATGAACAGCAGTCTGCTGTGTCCTGTGCACGGCACACTGCACCTTCCTGCAGTCATAGCCCTGGGTTGAACACATCGGTGTTTAGGGTGGTAGAGGAAGCAGGTGGGACCTCTGGCTTTAGTGGGGAGCAGGTCTGTGGTTAAGGAGGCCTAGAGGAGTATATCTGTGTGTATCTGGAGGCTCTCATGTTTGATGTTTTGCTGACAGTCTATTTGTGAATATTTAGTGTCTGCTTGGGCTCTATAGCATGAATAGCATAACTGTTTCTGCTTGGTGGGAGTCTGATTTGCTCTTAATAGAGTTTACAGTTCCAGATGTCTTGGCATTGCTGTGTATTGAAACAGGAGTGCTTGAAGAAATGTATCTTACACTTTCTGCTTTATCAGTTCATGGGTGGCTCAGGTTTGTACTTGCTGGATATTTTGGGTCCTACCGAGAGTAGATGGGGATGTAACTACAGTTAGTTTGTTTCTGCCCTGCTGACTTGCTGTTTGGTGTTGGGGAGGAACACCTGATGTGCGATCTAGCTCCAGTATTGCAGGTCCTTTCCATCTCCCCACTCCACATCTCCATAACATCCCAAACATAATTAAGACCTGGCAGATGCTCTAAGCTCTCTGTATGGCTGGGCTTGTTAATTATCTCCTGGACCCATCTGACATGTTGCCAGAAAGCGGAAATCACATTTCAGAAGAGACCAAGGGGGTCCTGCATCAGCTCTGTGAAAGCCAGAAGCCAAAGCCCAGGAGACCGTAAAAGCGAGAAGAGAATTCAGTTCCTGAATGCGATCTCCACGCACTGATTCCCCCCCACTGTCCCAGATCCCCACTGGATTTCAGAAATGCCTTTGAAGTATTGCTGCTACACCCATGCTTTTTACACGAACTTGAAGGCAGAAGGGCACAAGCCAAGGACATAGGTTCAGAGACGGAGATTATAGTCAAATACTCCCACCAGCAGACAGAGGGAAGTGAAGAATTCACATCAGGTAAAAACACCCTGGCTGGGTGAAATCAGGCTCTCACGTCTCTAAATGAAGCAGCTATTTCTTCCTGCTACTGGCAACATCCATTTTCTTGCAGCAGCCTTGGATGCCAACTTTGCAGGCGCCTTTTGCCGCAAACTGCAAACTAGTTCCTCTCCAGTCTTAAAAGAGAAAGCTCTGCTGTTTAATATTGAATGAAAATTTTGTGCCTTATGTAACACCTTGCAGGTGGGCCTGGCTGCCAGGCAGGGCTCCCATTTTAGACCTAGATTTCCCTCCATCGCACGTTGCCTTGCTGCCCTTTCCCTGCTTGTGCTCACAGATACTCTGTGCCTGGCCAGTATTTTGGGCCTGACCCCTCTGTGTGGGATTTGCGCTCACGGGGCCCAGAGCTCTTCCTCTCCACAGACTTGCTCTCTGTTGTTAGGAAGTGATGAGTGTGCCGCAGGCAGTCCTCTGCTCTCCCCGGGCTGTGTAATCAGAGGGAGCACCTCCAGGTTGACTCTAAAAGACAACGTTTGTTCTGCATGCGAACAGGAGTGTGGGGGCAGAGGGTTGAGTTAGGGAGGGATTTCTCACTTGGAAAACAAGAATGAGGCCAGATTTCAGCAAGAGAGGGTTCTCCCTGTCACCAGCACTTCTATCTTTAAGTCTCTCTGTCCTGAGAGAGGACGGGAATGAGGTCAGACCTGTTCTCTACATCGTGCATGTCCAGTGCTCTGCAGGATCGTATATGGAAAAATGTCATCTAACTGAGCGGGTCTGGCAAAGGACTCGCTTGGCTCTGGTCCCTCGGTCTTGTTCTGTGCTGTGGTTCCCACCTGCAGGCTGGCACTAGCAGTCCTGCCCTGTGAGGACCTGAGGGTGAGAGCATCGAAACTCGCAGAGAACTCGGATTTGGTGGCAAAATGGGGCTACAGGTTTGAGAGGTAGATGGCCTGGTAATCATGGTGTTAGGGATTTTATTCCTTAAGATGCACTGGGGATCTGCCTCTTAGTCAGAACGAAAGGTAGGATGGAAGTGTCAGTTCTCATGGGGGATTTTTAAGTTGCTGGCACATGCATCAAAGACTGAAAGTCTCAGGAAAGCCTGAGGCCATTCTCAGAGTGTTGCCAGTTTTGCATTTCTTTTTATCCAATCCTGCATTTATTCCTGTAAAGTTAACGGGGCTGACATGAGCTCTTTAGTCACTTCTCTACTTTTTCTTCAGCAGTGATCTGTGTCACAGGAATAGGCTTTGCTCAAAGAAAATGAGGAGAGAAGAGGTGGATTTAAAAGAAGCAGGGACTGCTCTTTATCTGGTTAGAAAAGCCAGGAAGTGTCAAGGAGAGAACAAATGTGGGTGTCTGAATATGTCTGCAGTAGTGGAAAGCAGCTGCCATCCAGTAGCTGTCAGTGGCCGACGTGCTTTGAGTTGGGCTTCCTGTGCACGAGGCTCTGCACCATCTTAGGTCCCTCTCCTGGTGCTGGCAGAGAAGTGGGAGGTAAGTGAGGATGGTCACCTCTCTGTCAGCCACCCCAAGGTGGAATTGATTTCAGTGCACTTGGGAGAGGTTGAGGAACTGTAAGACTGCATAAAAAGGAGTAAATAGCAAAACAGATCAAGGAGAAGGGTGTCAGTACGGATCCTGCGCCGTTTGGCTGAGGTTTTCTAAGAGACTGAGCAGCAGCTGCCATGCAGGATTTCAGTCCTGCCTTTCTCTGGGAAGGGCAGTAGTGGCAGACTGGGACGGTGCTTGGCTGCAGCACGGTTTCTCCTGGCAGATCCCCCTCTGCACCCACCCATCCCCACTGTCCCTACCAGGCTGCTTACCACACTTGGGACTTCCTCCGGGGCATGCCGTGGCGGTACCATTTCGAGTGGGGGGTTAGGTGGTAAATCAGCTGCCTGCAGATCCTGTCGGAGGATTTCCAGGGGTCATATTCCTGAAAGCAAAGGGACAGCTTAGACTGCCTGTACCACAGCAGAACAGGAGGCAAGCGGGAGGACAGAGGAAGATGGGAAACAAGCAGAGCTGGTAGTGGCGCAGGGTATATGTATATCAGGGAGGAGATGAAGAAGAAGAGAGGATGAAAGAGGGCTGGTGTGAAGGCCTGAGATGCCTCTGCCACGTGCCCTCTCCTTCTCTGCACTGCCAGGAAGGACCCCAGCCCAGCCAGCGTGTTCCTGCTCACAGTGGGGCTACAGTTTCACACCATACCCAGGAGCAAGTGGAGCTCTGAAGTGGGGGTTATTTTCTAGAGCTGTGGCAGGGGCTTCTGGCTTTAGGCCAAGCAGCACCCGGGAAGGCAGGGGTGGCTGACAATGTGAGAAGGACTCTGGGCAGGCACCCCCATACCCTTTTCTTTACAAGATCTCCACTTTCACAAAAGACCGGTATAAGGACAGCATGGGTGTCCCAGCTCCTCACTGCTGTATCCTCAGCAGCACCCATCTCCCGCTGTGCAGACAGCCTGCCAACTCACTGTGTTATAGGACTATGCTAAATTTCTATAAATTATCTTGTTGCCATGCTTCCCAAACTCTAACTGCATGGTGTCTTTGGGCTATTTGTTATGCTGATGTGGAAAGTTCAGCAGTCAGTACCCTTGCCCCATTTCCAAGGTGCTTTTTGCTGGGAGAGATGTGCCCTGGGACATCCCTGCTCCTCCTGTAGCAGTACCCCGACTGTTCCCTCTTGTGTTCCAGGTGGGAGATGCCAGGACAGGGAACCAGCAAGTTCCCCATGTTCCATCTTACTTCCTTGCCATCCGTTCTGCTCCTGGAGGTTTGAGTTTGGGAGCTTCCCTCCAGCAGTTGCCTCCAGCCCCTGCACTAACTCGTCAAGAAAAGATGGCACCAGGATGATTGCTAACTTTCTGGGTTTATTTTTGCATGCATTCTCTTTCGCCATAGAATCATTAAGGTTGGAAAAGACCTCAAGGATCATAAAGTCCAACCCAACAACACCTAACTCACTAAACCATGTCCCTAAGCACCACATCTACACGTTTCTTGAACACCTCCAGGGATGGTGA